GTTCAAGCCGAAGCCTTTAACTTCTTATCATTCCGGTCAGGCAAAGTACGCGAAGAAGGTTATTTCCTTATTCCGGTCAGGCTGTAAGACCGAAAAGCAGAGGAATGTAAAACACTGCCCTTTTCTAGGATTGAGAATGCATTTCCCAGACGTGGTGTAATGATATCGCAATCAAGATAAATATCAGTAAAATTCCTTTAACTAGGCATGGCTGCTGGAAGATATCCGGAGTTACTCAACAAGACTGAAAAACCACATAAGAACCTGGGATCCACCATTAGCCATCTTTTTTTGCACAGGTGGATACAAAATCAAGATCAAAAGAAAGGAAGCGTTGAGCAAGACACTGGATCCAAGTAGGCGATAAGTACTTCAGATGGTTACAAGAAAATAATCAAGAGCACAGATAGATAAGTTCCTCAGATAGTCAGGAAGAAGAAGGATATCCCAGAAGGATTGATTCCTAATGAGAAGAGGTTTTTAGTTGAAGTCCTTTGGAGGATCATTAATTTTTTGTGAGATAAGATTCAAGATCGCTATTCTGAGAATGATAATATCTAATGCGTTATAAAGGCAGATAGGAAACTCGTTAATTTGTTTTATCCTTCTTTGTTATGGCCTTTTTTAACCTTAAAGCTCTTGCATATTATATCCTCAAAATCCCAGAAGGTACTATAATACAAGGAATCGAAATTTCAGAAATCCTTTTCTCTCGCTAGTTCGGAAAAAAAATAAATAGATAAAATTTCATAAAGATTCGGAAAAATATTTATCTAAATATCTGGTTTAGATCATATATGAAAGAGGGCGAGAGTTTTTATCGAGAAAAAATTATGAATAACATTGATGTCGTTGATGAGAGTTCAAGATGAGGTTCGGTATCTTCTCAAATAAGTGGGACCTCGACCTTGGTTGACGAATTTACTCGTAATACTGGAATCAGTTCTAGAATTTTATTCCAGGATTGAGATGTAAATATAGTTGAAAAATTTCATCTCAAGATTAAGATGTGGATATGGGTGATAGAGGTGAGAATGAGAAAGAAGAAGGGAAGGAAAAGTAATCTAGAGTTAAAATCCAATATGATTATACCTATAAAAAGCCGGTTAATAAAGCTAAAGATGAATCCAACAAAAAACTCTCCAGCAATAAAGTCAATAATCAGATTAAGGAAGATGATTATATAATATTGAAAAGGCATATCCTGGAATTATCTTCCGATACCGCTCGAATTTCTGAAATTAGAAAAAAGAAAGGACTTCATAGATTCATAAATTTTTCTTGTCCATATTTTATTTATGCTATTGCTATATTAATAAAATAATAAATAATGTTTATTGGTATGCTTAATAATATAATTATAAAGCACAATAAAGGTTTTAAATTATATTAAAAAAAAAGAAGACAGTCTATTTCATTTCTACTTTAGCAATGTAGTGGTAAATTTCGTTTATTTATTAAAACAAGAGTTGATCGTGAGTTATGCAAAGTCGAATTTCAGTGTCTCGCGTGATCACAATTGTTTAACTCGTTACACTTTAGCTTTTAAAGCAATTCGTTGGATCCGATACAAGTCAATAATAAAATTGTTACCAATTATGTTTGCAGGGATTACTGGAGTATACGCATAAGGGACAGGAAACTGTGGATCCCAAAATACTTATGGGAATTGTGATCTGAAAAGCTAATAAGTTCGGCGCGTTGCAACAAGCCGGATCGTTGACGGGATCCCTTGAATGTTTTTTAAAATTTCCAAAGTCCCATCGTTGTGCCGCCATTCCTTGACGGTACAATTTAGCCTAATATTAAAAAAAAAAAAAACAGACTAATAAGATACAATTCTTAACTTGGTATCATTCAATAATAAATAAGATATACCGTCATTGTTCTATAGAAATATCCGGTTACAGGTTCTTGAATCCCTGGTCTTGGCTCTAAAATCTTGATACTGACGACAGCACGGACGTATTGTTCTTGCATCCAAGTCAAGCACTGTTGTCTCAAACGACCAACACTTTGACCTACAGCTACCTCGCAAATTATTCGAGCATGTGGATTTCCCTACATAACACATAGTAATGAAAATTACATAAGACAAAATACAATACGTAATGTAAATCAAACTCAACATACAGTACGTACATCTACATCACTGGGAGGACGAGGTATTATTGTGGAAGCGGAAGGTCTTGGAACAAACGCTGTATCTGGATATACAGCAACATCAGGAGATATATGAGCCCCACTTCCACCAGGCTTATAATGTACTATTTGAAAAGATTATAAGAATGGAAATTCAATAACAAGAAGCAAACTACAGTAGAATAGATTCTCATACGAGGTTGTCCAAAGACTACAATTGGAGGATCGAAAATAACACCACCGTTAGGAATCTTAAAAAAATCTTGAAGCAGAGAAACAACACTCTCGTGTACAGGTGAGGTCACATCAATTATGTACACGTTGCCAGTTTTATTGTCAGCGTTTGTTTAACTGGAACTGGAACTTGTACCCAGATGACCCGTGATTGTTAAGAAAAGTGTTATAATCTTTGATCGTTATTTTCGAGCCAATTTGCAAAGGCAAACTGCGTTCCAAAGTCTATATTAGCTAGTACTTAAGCAATAAGGTAATACATCCCATACACCACCTGCTTTCTGCTAACGGCTTTTTTGGTAATTTTGGATAATTATGTAAAAATTCGTCAAATATATCTAAAATCCTTGCCCACCAAATTTCGTCTGAAGTACGTGCACGAGACATTTTCAAGATAAAATTTTAAAAAGAGAAAACCGGTAGCTGTAAGAAAAAATTTTAAATCAATTTCACATGGAAAAAAGATCGACCCGGTATGATGTACTGTAACTACGTATGCCGTAGTGCGTCGGAATTTCAATCAGAAACACATTCAAATTTCGATATCGGAAATTATTTTTTGTATGAACTCATGCTATATTGTAATCCTTTAGAATGACAGTACAGTATATCTGATATTTTTCTAAAGAATAATTCAACGCTTGTCACGTATTATTTTCACACTCGCAATCCCATCATGAGCTCGGAGTTCACAACACACTTCCGGTTAATTTAAGTTTTACGTTGAGCTTCAGGTATGAATGGTAATTCTCGAGTAGAACAACTAAAAAATCTGCCTGACAGGACGTTGGTATTTATTACTATCGATGGAGTTACGAAGCCCGAGACATACAGCGTGTTACATATTTTCTTTTTGTGTACACCATTCAAGATTAGGTTCATTATTATTAGTAGGACTATCATTAATATTATTTGCATATTCTTTCCTTCTTTTGGACAAGATACTATTGCCACTAAGCGATAAACAAGATACTCTTCTCGAACAATTTTTAGATAATCTATATAAATGAACCTTGAGTGATTACACTACCCGTTAACTGAATTCTTCCGAGAGATGAAACTCGGAATTTTCGTAAATTAGGCTCTATTTCTCTCCATTATTCACTGGAATCGGGTTCTGTGTGATCTTAATAGTGCATCCAACGCCAGTAACCAGTAATTTTTTGATAACATTCTGAGATACGTACAATTTACCGTAATTTTAAGCATGGCGCTTACACGGCTAGTAGAATCACAAATCTTAATAACACTTCTATCTAACGATTACGTATCATATTTGATAATATTAATATTATTAACATGGGGCTTATTCTCTAGGTTAGGTATAAATGCAAGTGTAACTAAAATATGAATAGCGATGGTTTTATAAAAATTGATGATTTTCAAACCCATTCGTATGTAACCTTTTCTTTTACTGGGATTTAGCCTAAAAATCATGCCTTTTTATTCAGATTTTTTTCGTCATATATATGGTATAACTGTATAATATTTTTTTAAATATATAAGAAAAAAGGGAAATCGGCTCTAGGAATTTTATCGCTAAAGGCTTCGCTAAGGTAAATATATCACGGGTCAAAAACGTAAAGATTTTTTTTTCCTAGCAAAAGTGATCGGCGTGGCGAATTCTTCATGTGCACGTGATTTATCAAACTTTACACATTTTGTATAAAACAACCCAATCCACAATCAATTCGTTGAGGAAATTGAATATCAAACTTGTATCTATGTTGCTTAACTTAGAAAAAAATTTGCAAAAGTCGAGGCTGAGAATATAGAATTAAAACGAGATCAGATTTGTGAAATTAGAACGGACCACAAAGGAAAATGCTGAGAATACAAATCAAAGCCTAACGGATAACACTGAACTTAGATATAAAGACTCGAAAATATAACAAACCAGTCTTTAAACTGACCAGAATTATCTTATCACTTATGTGAGCCAGTTAAATGCCGAAAATCAATTTCATGAGGAGAAAGTTATTACTCCCGATCTCATTTACATTCTTCAACAGAGACCGAACTCCTGCAACCTAATTGCCGCAAGACGTTATTGATAATGCTTCGGCTGAGGCTCTAGATTTTGTAGGAACGGCATATAAGTAACAGGCTAGTAAATAAATATAGAGAAAATCAGGGAAAAGAAGCTTCAAGATCAAGAAGTACTCTCAACTCCTCAAGATGTACGTTCGGTTATTATTTCTGAACAGATGAATGATCAATTAAAATCTCAGAATGCATCTTCTGGCTTTTTGCAAACTTCTTTCTTACAGAGTAATCAATCAAATATCTCGGAGATGGAGATTATTGTTTCGAAAACAAACTTTCTACTGATTCAAGCACAAGTACAAAGCATTACTTCTCCTGAACTAAGTGATATTTCTATCTAAATAAAATTCCCCTATGATCAGAAAAAGGGTAAGGTTTAATACATGAGTTATTCGAAATTAGAGAGGCGCTAATTTTATGTCATTAAAAATACTAAAGAAAACCTCATGAAATTAAACAAATTTTGGGGTATACGGTGTATATACTGTAAATTCATGTTCTGTACCTCATTTTGAACAGTTATTTGGCAAGACTGAAAAAACTGAACGAAAAAAAAAAAAATTTCGATGGGATTATTATAGTGAGGAATATGAAAAAAAGTTTCAAATATTAGTTTAGAAAAAAATATTGGTGATAAAATGGCGAGAACACAACTATAGGATAAAATGATGCAGTATCTACCTGGTATCAAGAGAGAGTATTTGCTTAATATGACTCAATAAAACTAGAAATATCTATGCATTTTCCAAAAAAAAAAATTTAAAATAATTTAATACAGTTAAACCTGGCGCATGGCCAGGGTCTACTCACTATTTTGTAATATAATCAATTAAAAAAGTTTTTTTTTAAAAAATAAAAATTTAAAATTTAAAAAAATAATTATAATGAATATAGAACAATAAACTTACAGATATACTTACTATATTATTATTAATTAAAATATTCTAAAATATAAAAAAATATTATTATTATAAATAATTAAAATTATCAATAAATATAAATATAATTTATAATAATTTTTTAACTATTGACTTAGCCTTGCTTTATTTAAATTTAGTAGATATTATATATATTGTATTATATATTGTATATATAATTACTTATATTTAATAAATAAATTTTGATAAGGAGAAAATATTCATCTTGTTGCTTGTTATTATTCTTTTTGAATGGAACTAACCTGTTAAAGCTAGGTTAGCATTGTATAAAATTTTCAATAAATAATAAGAAGTTGTAATATTTTAAATAGTTTTATGTATGTATTTATTAACAATATCAAATAATAACCTTTTATATATATTTGATTTTCTTTTTCTTCAAACTAGAATATTTTTGCTACACTATTATATTTCTATAAATTTTCTACTTTTTTAATAATTTCTTATTATTTTTCTATTGAATAAATATGGTAGCTTACAAAAGTCTTACACTATCAAAAATTTAAATGTCAAATCTAATTAACTAATAATAATTTATATTTAAAGGTAATCAATTAAAATTAAAATTGATAATTTATAAAATACATATTTTTTTTTAATTATATTCTTGATTTTTTAAAAATCAAATCTATTATAAACAAGATCACCTAATCATTTTAAAAATATAAAATTAATTAGATAATATAATTTAGATTCAGATTTTGTTACAAGGATAGAAATTAAATTATAATATTCTTTTTTATAAAAGTATTAGATATTAAAGTATCATATCTATAAAAATAAAAAAAATTCATTATATATTGTATATAAAATAATTATTAAAAAATCATAGAAGTTATTAAAGAAATTCAAAAAACTATAATATTTAATATACCTTATATTCAAAGATATGTTATAATAAGTATAATAAAAATATAAGTAAATGCAATCAAAAATATCACAAAAATTTAAAAATTACCAACTTATACATTATTGATAATAATTATAAATCAATTAACTGAATCTTTTTATCAAATATTTAATAATATATGTAAATTTTATAAAAATCATAAACAATAAATTCAAAATTATCCATCAATTCTATCTAAATATTTAAATTATTGCTATTTATATTAGAAAATAAAAAATAATTTTAATAAAAATTATATATTAAACAATAAAAGTTTCTATAAATATTAAAGATATAATTATAAATTTTTTATTTATAATATTTAATAATAATAATAATAATTTTCATTAAAGAATATATAATAATCTCAAAAAATTAATAGAAGAATTAAAAAAAAAAATCAATAAAAATTAAATTGGTTTTTTTTTTTAACAAAAAAACTAAATTATTTTTTTTTTTGATAAAAGAACCAATATTTTTTTTTAAAAAAAATTAAAAATTATTATAATATTATTTTTCTGATGAAAAAGCTAAAAATTATTATTATTTTAACAAAAAAAATAAAAAATTATTATTATTATTATTATTTTAACAAAAGAATCAAAAATTATTATTATTATTATTATTTTAACAAGAGAATAAAAAATTATTATCTTTTTTTTTATTGTAAAAAAGTCAAATTAATTTCTTTTAATGGAAAAGTCAAATTAATTTTTTTTGGATAGAAGAATTAAAAAGAATTTTATAAATAAAAAATTATTATTTAATATAAATCAAATTTTTTTTTTTTTTTTTTTTAAAACACACAACGTCGCCCATTTTATTGATTATATGCGTTACATATACTTTCATTTA